TACAGAAAGTAAAATGCGAACACCGCCCCTGTTACCGCCATCATCCATAACATCGCTACATTAACCGCCACTCTCCAGGCTGCCGCTCACCCCTGGATGGCAGCAGTAGATGTAAAACATGCCTTCTTTACGGTGCCACTGCAGGAGGAGGATGAAAGAAAATTTGCTTTTACCTGGGATGGGATACAATTGACTTTTAATAGACTTTCTCAGGGCTATAACCACTCCCCCACTATAGCTCAGTGGAGCTAAACATCGCATTAGCGCTAGGTGGATATATCCTAGCTACTAACTAAAAGAAGTAGCCAATCTGGACCCCCCCACCGAGGCTTGTGTTATCTTTTCTTTCAGGAGCAGCAGCCGGGACAGCACCGGGATGCCTCGCTGGCAGATGGAACGGATCATCGCAGGGATGTTCGTTCTTCGCGAGGGAGTAATCCTCACCAGTGCGAACCAGAGCCAGTTTACGCCTCGACACGCCTGATGCATGGGGTGGAGGCCCTCACTTTTTATTTCTGCTAGTCAATACGGTAACTGTAGTACGTTCTGCATCATACATGTTTAAAATCGATGGAAGTACAGGAATAGCAGGAAACCAGGCACAAAATTTAACAGTAACAATCACTAGCAAACAATACAGTAAGAAGCAAAAAATTGAAAGGGGGTAAAGGAAGATACCTCTTTATTACCCCACAAGGTAGGGACATCTCTATTAGATCTGATGTGTTAAATTGCACAAACAGAAACACCCTTCTGACTGTTAAAATGCTGAATCAGCCAGAAACAAAAATTAGAGCTATGCTCTTGGCAGCGCCCAGTACGTGTAACTAACTTTACCCCCGATGAATTGCCGAGAGAGGCGGTGTGTCTGTGGTGGATGGGTAGTGGTAAACACAGCCTAGCTTTGACATTTGTCCTCATATCTATCCCCATGCTACTTTAGCCCCCACAATGCATTTTACTACCTCTGAGACCCGCAATGAAACTATTATGTGGCTGTCTCCACAAATGTTTGTGACTGGACCTTATGCTATTAAATGTACAGGACAGCAACAAGTCATATTTAACCCGTCATCGTCCCTGAAAAGGGTAGAACTGTCCATGTCTAAGGCAATACTATAAAAGCCCAAGATACTTGCTTAGATACACAGCAAAGTATCTGTTATTTTGAAATCCACCCTGAAGAAGCAACTGCCTCTGTGCTAGTTTATATGGGGAATGGATGTGTCTGTATAACAACACTTTGTGAAAACTTAATTATTGATGGAAATTTTACCTATAATGTATCCAAGCAATCAAATGTATGTGTTTGTAACTTCGTAAACATGACTGGATGTGATTTTAATTATACAGGCTCAGTGACCTCAGATGCACTGTTAAAGGAGAATTATCCACTGTTTCAAGACCTTCTGCCTTCCTCCATCAGAATTAAGTTGATGCTGCTTCACAAGCTGCTGAAACATGGAGACTTACAAGCCTTATTATGAAAAGTACAACAACAAAGCAAAAACATACTAATAACTGTACATCCTGATGGAGAAGAAAAATGCTGTGTACTGGAACGAGTGAAAAAGGACAGGGAACACCACTGGTGAGCAACCTTATTTGGATGGTTTCCACCAGCAACAGGTGTATTGAACACCGTGCTACATCCTGTGACAATAATGTTTTCCCTTGTGGTATTTTGTATTGTTATTGTTGTCTTTTTATATATTCAAGTCTGTTTTTTAGCCCGATCAGTACATGTCATTGTAAAACGCACAGAATATCTTGCCACTGATTGTATGGAACTATCTTATAGTTAACCCTTTACAATTTTGTATTTATCGCTTAATCCTCCAGTAGCCAATGTGATGCTATTACTACCTCATATTTAGAGCAGAGAGGTAAGAGGTGACCGTACCACCGCTCTGTGAAGTAAAGCAAATTGACTGTAGTCATGGGGTGGAGGGTGATGGATATATAAACACCTGCAGCCCCCAGGGCCCGCGGAGCTCTCCTGGGCAGCAGCGGGCTGCGCGGCAGTGATCTCCCCTTGAGCAGGGATGCCTCTCAGGGTTACTCCTCCAGGTCGAGAGATTCCTTACCCAACATCTGTTACGTACAGTGAGGTAAGTGACATTTTATATTAGATCTAAAGCATATTGTATACAAGCTATAGCTTCATTATTGGAAGTGTAGTAAGTAGTAGAGTGTTTGACCCCTTAATTATTGATTAATCACCATTTAATTAGCATTTAGTCATCATTTAATAATAGTTTAATGGGAATGGGAAATGCTGCCGGCTGGCAGGGGAGAGATGAGGAACATGTGCTGCAAGCATGAGTTATCGTTTCTGAATAAGGCATAAAATACTGGTGGCAAGTTGTGTGAAGTTTTCTGCTTAAAGCCGGTAAGGTCCCTAAGCCGCTGCATGGAGCTGGTGGGTTGAAGAGGCTGTGGAAAATATTGGCAAAATAGGTCTTTGAGACCCTGCTGGATTGTTGAGCCTCTGAAGGTGGACACTTAGATGTATGTTGGTTAGAAGAGAAGTAAAGCAACGGTCTGTGGCTCCATCAGTGCCCAAAGGAGCCTAGCTTTAGTGGGGGGTATTTGGAAGTTAATATGTTCTTGTTAACAAGTTATTACTTGACAAATTACTCTGAATCGAACATTTCAAAGCAGTTATCTTAGTGAATCATACCACTTGCAGCAGACCCAAGAATTTGGTTATTTATGTAGTATTTCCTGTTTTGCAAGTTAGCCTTTTAACTGATGATATCGTCTTAAGTTCTAAACTAAGATCTCAGAGCTCTCCAACCACAGATTTAGCAGTAGCGATAAAGAAGAATTTGCGAAGTGTGACACATGCATTTCTTGCTAAGGCTGTATTCATTTTACATGTTACTGTAATTTCAAGCATCCTCCTATGTAATAAGAATCTTAATCAGCTTCAAACATTGATGTATCATTCTCCAAGCACTGAAGTTGGTGTCTTATTATGCAGCTATTGTGTTTAAGGCCCCACCTCAGAGCCTTCAGATTTCCTCACAAAGTGAACCCTGACTTAATCTGAGTATATTTTGAGTATATTCCTACTCAACAAGTTTTGAGTATATTCCTACTCAACAAGTTTTGAGTTGTGTTTGGGAGAGGAGGGGACCTGTGCCTTCAGAACCTTATAAAGAACCAAATGTAATAATAAGTAACAATACCAGGATGAGCTGCTTCTAGCCTGTGGGGAACTGTGAAGTTATTACTTTATTAACTTTTGCTTTATTGTCTCATTAAAAGTGCTGCATTGTATTTAATATTGAGTAAACCAGAAATTTCCCAAACTGTCCCCCACTGAAGTGACGTGCACGTGCATGTTTTTCCAAAGATTTTCAGGAGTCAGTGGCAGCTTGTGCCCAAACTCTGCTCAGAAATTAATCTTTTTTTTTTTCTTTTTTTCTGTTTGTTTTTGTTTGTTTGTTTGTGTGGGTTTTTTTTGCTTGATGTTAGTGTTTTTCCTGAGGCTAATGTAATTCTGTAATGGAAGCGTTTTCTAAAGCCTGAATTGTTTGTTGAAATGGTGTAAGCAGAAGTAGACTCCTGGTGACATTTCCCCTCTGAGTTTTACATTAGACACCCCAGATGAAATCTTGGGTCACCAACAGATTCTGTTAAGGATCATGTTTTTATTTCTATTTCAGTCTGGGTCTGCTAGCAGCTTGGAGGGTCTAAAGTCACATCATACAAGTGGTTTTGCTATTCTACATGCATGGGTTTTTTAAAAAAGTGTACAATTGTATATTTGAATTAATTAACTTAAGTTTTCAACTTGATAAGCTGTCGCAATGGAGTTTGGAGGCGATGAAACCAGAAGAATGGACTTGCTGTGTCCCACTCAGGAGAAACTGCAGGTCTGGTCACTTCTGGTTGGTATTGTGCACAAATTCTGTACCGAGGATTTGTGTGTGACTGCACAGAGAGAAATGCAATAGCTCCACCATATCCTGTCTTCTCTCTTCACGAAAATTAAAGGAAAACCTGAGTTGATAATGAATGATACCTTTTTCCCCCCCTCCTTTTTGGTTTTAAAATCTTTAAAGTCAGAGTAGTCTTTTATCCATACAAAGTTGCTCCAAAACACAGGATAACTTTTTGAACGGATCCATATTTTGCTTTTGTGGAGTGGGGAGAAATGTTATTCAAGGCTAAAATACTGCTGTTTTTCAAACTTTACATTTCAGAGATATAATTCTGATGTCAGTGCAACGTTTCTGAAGGTCCGTATGTTCCTACATCCTATGTTGCCATCCATTCTGAACTGAGAACTTGTATTTTGTATGTTAGCCAGGAAAAGGTTTGTACTGCAGAATTTTAGGAACATCAGAAAACTACAAAAAGTAACTGAGTGCTAGAAAAAACCCCATACTCTTATTTGGTAAACTTACAGTATTAAATAATAGGATAAAATATCTGAATGCTCTTTTAAAAATTCAGAGTCCAGTAACAGAATTAGGTTATTCTAGCTGAAGTCTAGAAAATTTTTCACGTGGTCAACTCCACTACTTGGAATAAGGGCAGAAGGTCAAGTCATTAGTTTGTAAATGCTTGTTAATAATTTTTTACAACATCACACATAATTTAGATGCTTTAGAGCTGATTAAAACTAGCAATAAAAGGGCTGGAAAAATTCCCGTCATCTTTAAATTGCCAGCAATATATAATTCAATCATGGTACACAATCTGTAAGTATAATTTCAAGAATTTTACAGTTTGCACACGGAAAACTTTTGCTGTTACATAGTTCAGCAAAAGGCACTTGTCTCGAGTGGACATTTTCTGATGGCTGGCTGCTTTGGCAAATTGTGTGGTGTGGGGAGGGTTAATGTGTGGTGGAGGAAACACGTGTTGCTGCAGAGCAATAAGGAGGCTGTGTTGTAGAGCATGCAGTAGTGGGAGGGTGGGAGAGAGGGTTGGAGAGCAGCTGTCCTCGTCGCACCTGGCGAGGATTTTGGTCCACAGTCAGCAACATGAGAAATCAGATAGATCTGCTGGCCACTGTCACAGTTTTGGGAGTCCTGGAGCAAGGTAAATATCCTTTATATAATGCTAGGTAGTATTAAGCTAATTATATTAAACTTTGTGGAACTTGGTGTCTGTATTTTGATTGGAGCCTCTGTGGAATGAAAGTTGCTGTTTTCTAACACAATAAAATGATGCAAATGTTTGGCCATTCCTGTGGAAGTGTAATGGCTGAGGATGTTCATTATTTAATAAGGACTAAAATGATTCATAAACCTCAAAGCCAGCATCCGAGAAGGAAATAAGATCTAAGTTTTACTTTTAAATTAAAACAATTTCAACAATAGAATGTCTTTCAAGTAAAATATTTTCTGTGATTGAATTTTAGCAGGTAATTTGTAACTTTGAGGGGATGGAGGTAGCTGAAATAAATGAATATGCTAATGAAGAGGTCAGTGCAAAAACATATATCATATGTATATAGGAAAGAGCACCAAGTACACATGCATTTCTCCTCTGTGACCGACAGCGTTATGTGTTCCATTCATATAGCTTAGCTGCACGGAGCAGAGGACAAGATGAGTCGACAGCACACAGTAATTTGGGAACTAATGCAAGCCCTTCTGGTCGGAAATAGATGCAGACATCTTCAAAGAAACTCGGTGACTTCTCGTAATTTAAATAGGTGCTGTTGGTTTAGGCCATTTAGAAAGAAGCAGTAGGGCTGCCAAGCTCTGTCTACTTCTTGTGTTTAATTGTGGGTCCTTTGGGCTTCAGGAGGGTCACGGAAGGGGACGCTGCCCCTGCCTGGTGTGGGGACAGAGTCCCATTTTATTAAAATCTTCACATTTCTATGAGGAAAGGTTTGTTTGGGGTGTTTTATTACTCAATTAATTCATTGCAGAGCTATCGCACCTCTTTTTGCTTACAAATGGATGTGAATCTCTGAGCAGCCTGATGTATTTTTAGCCATCAGATGATACATCTCTTAATAAAAGCATTATTTAAAACACAAATATGCTACTTGAAGAACAGAGTTCAAAATTTCTGAATTATCAGTAATTTCCTCTCAAACAATTTACAGAGAAATATCAGCAACTACAAATGGAAGATACTTTTGTCTTAGGAATTTTTTTGTTGTTAAACTAAGTGGGGATGGAGGGAGTGTTCAGTGCGCAAAGAGAAGACATGGAGAAGACTTGAAACTGAGTTACGGAAACGTTGCTAAGCCCTTTCCATTGGGAAACCCTCAGGAGCAAATTCCTAGATAGCAGTTTTGTCTCAAATATATTTGTTTTATGACAACTTCAAGTATTTTTTTAAAGGTTGCAGCCTTAGGCATTTTACTTTGATGCTGTGCAAACCATACATAGGTGTGAAGCCAGCAGATAAATAGCAAGTGTTGCCACCCTCTTATCTACATTAGATCGGACAAAATTTTATGGTCTCTGCATGGGAAGCCAAGGAGCAATTATAAAATACTGTGTGTTTCCTTTCTCTCTGCTAGTAAGAAATACGTGTGCTAATGTCACCTTGATTCAGAGCTGTGCAGTAGCTTTTCTTGCATATTTTGAAAGGACATTCTGTGTGTGAGTTACAGATCTGAGATTCAGTCTGAGAAGGCAGAGCACTGAAACACCGACGTGCACTATACGTACACATCCTGATGTAGGAGACCCAATTCAATGGCTGAGCTTAGTACAGGGTTGGTTGTTTTTTATTTTCTTCTTAATTTTCTGGGAGCCCATGGTTTCTGCATTCTTTCGAGTAACTTTCCCCTTTTTAATCTAGTTATGCTCAGTTTAGCAAAGCTTAGTGCTCTGTGGATACATGCCCCTGCCCCGTGTTGAATGCTGTACCAGAGAGCAGAACAATGCTACCACGGTTGTTTGGGTTGGTTGGTTTTTTTTGGTTTTGGGGGGGTGTTCCCCTTTTTATCATGGCTTCAAAGGAAATAAAGCTTATGCAATGCCACTGTCTGTCAGTCCCCACAGAGCTTGTTTGCCAGATTCACTCAGATGAGGCAGATAGCAGCTATAATATGGTTTGACAAGTTTGTGGACATAATCAAATAGAGAATGAAGGTCTGGCTGATACTTCTACTGAGGAACAAAGTGCAGGGAGAGCTCAGCCCCTATGAGCTGCGTAGGAATCCACAAAGGAGTTTAACCTTGAGACACGAATCACAAAAAAATAGCTTGAAAGGTTTGCAGAGTAGATTGAACTCTTTTCCCTAAAAGTCCGTGCTGAGAAGGCTTATGCAGTGTGGGTTTTTTTCAGCACTTCATTCTGAGAACTGTTTTTGGAGGGTGATTAAGGATGAAGCTCCTTAATGCGTTGCCCATACACCAGGTCTGGAGGACAGCTAGCCAGCCTCCAAAAGGCTCTTTCTCCTCTTGGGTGGTTGTTTTATGTATTATCCATCCCTAAGGGATCTGTTGCAGGACATGTCTGAGTATTTGCCCCTGTGTACAAGCGAGATGTTAAGGACAGAGCTGATGGAGGGGTTGGGTCTGAAGTTACTCTTACCATGCTCATCAGTCACAAGAATGCTACATTAGGCACGAAGCAGGATGAAGACCATTGCCCAGCACAGTCAGGCTTATGCCACGAGCCAGAGCTGTGCACGATGCAGTAACTTTAGCTCGGTCCATTTCTTGAGAAGTGGCTGGGCAGACCCTGAGAGCATTAAATAGCTGCGTAGGAGAGCTGTGCTTATCTGATGTGAAGAGGAGGTAACAGGATGGGTCACACTTTCATCATGTTTTTACCAGAGCTCTGCCAGCCACCGCTGAATTGCCGGTCGTGCGTTACTGCAGACCTAGCTCTCTGGTTTCACAGAGGGGATGCTGTGTTGTGTCCTGCCGCATCGCAGAGGCAGGACGATGTCCTCACCCTTGACCATAATCAGCGTGCCACACACAAATCAGGAGGGGAAAAGCAAACTTCGTCCTCCCCACCTTTCTCTCCCAGCACCTCTTGTTCAGAGCTGGGTCACTGCACACCCTGTGGAAGACACTAGAACACACGGATGTTTTCTTAAATGAATGTCTCTGTATGTAAATGGATAATATGTTGTGTAATACACAGGTTACATAGCATCAGATTATTTACATTTCTAAGTCCCTCTTCTTCTACATACGTTCTAATGCTTTTCTGCAGGCACGCATGGATCTGTCTTGTCTTTAATCTTGCAACATCTGTTCCTGCTTTCCTTCTCTCTCCTGCTGTTCTGCTTTTATCTTCTTTGTTAGAATAAGACAGGCCACAAGGCAGTCCTTGCAGCCTGGCTCCTTGTCTCGCTGTTTGATGCGCCGGAAATGTTGCTACGTTAGGACCTTGCTCATCCAAGTGACTCGCTTAGCAGCACGCTGTCACAGCCATCAAAGTAATTGGTTTTTATAATTTAGCTTTCTCTTGTATGAAAATCCTCATTTTCCATAAAGGCAACAATGTAGTAGTGCACCTAAAAGATAAATACTTGAAACATCAGCAGTCACCTGTGGGAGTAAGAACTTTCATCAAATAGTGAAACAGTCCAAATCTTCAGTTAACAAGTTTTCACCCTTAAGAAGTGATTTTTCCATGTCACTTACGAATGTCCAAAGGAGCGATGTAGCAGGCACAGTTAGCACCTTGGCCCAAGCTTGGCACAGGCAGTCATTTTCTGCTCCTTGAACTGCTCAAGCCTCGGGGCTACCCTGCAGGAATGAAGAGGAAGAAATAATCACCCCCTTCGCCATTTCCTTATATTGCCATGTTTACGAACATCCCTAATTGACTTAATGATCTCCCAGTGCTTCACAGTTTGGATGCTGCTCTGGGACGTGGTGGCATCCTTGTACAGAAAGAAGCTTGGTGCCCACTCGCTATAGTGGGAGGTGTTATACATTATTCCCATCAGACTGGCTGAGGGTATACTAATACTCGAAATACTTTTAAAAAAGAATCATAATTCTGTTATGGGATGTGGACTCAGTAGGGTTTTAATGTGCGTTGCCTCCTGGGCGCAGCTGATCTGCTGGGGAGCAGCACCAAGGGCTCTGCCGCTGCGTACCGGGCGTGCGGCTATGCAAAGCGCCAGCCAGCACATCAGCTCTGCGGTACGCGGGCTCTGCTAGGATAACCAAATCTGAATTTAGAGTACGAGCCTGAAATAAATGGCACATTTATTCCAGGTCGTGTGTGACAGCCCTGGACTATGAACCTAGACAGTGTCAGCTCTTTTCCTCTAACCACTTGCTTGATTCCAAGCTAGATAAAGCTTGGCTAAATAAAATGCTGCTGGACTTTTACCATTCCTGTGTTGTTCTTCTTTTTAGCCTATTTTGCGCTGCAGGTGATCTATGCCCGGCGGAAGTACAAGGTCTCCCCTCCCGAGACAACAGGTCACCCTGAATTCGAGCGGATCTTCAGAGCTCAGTAAGATTTTGACAACTTTCTGACTCCATCTAGAGTCAAATGTCACTGCCAGGAAAGACTGAAGTCACCCTGAAGTCACCTTTTCACTTATTGCTGCTGATACTAGATTTTTTTTTTTTTTTTTGTAAATGCTTTGCACGCAGAGGTCTGCGTTTTGATTTGGAGCACTTTGCTCTGGCTGGGGTGTTTCTGTCCATCCCCGATAATCCTCCTTCTGGCATCGTGAGAGGCAGCCAAATTACGAATTAGTGGCTGTATGGAAGAGGTGCTTAGCATTAATGCATTATCATAATTAAGTTTCATATTAACATTGGCTCCAAATTGTGAGAGTAGCTGAAGCTATATTAATAGCCTAATATTTGCTTGTAAGTTTTTGCTGTTGAATTGAAGCAAAGGGCCTTGCGGGCACAACCAGCTACGAAGATGGTTTTATTTTTTCTTTTTTTAAGCCATTGTACTGTGAAAGTCGGCACTCGCGGGCCCATGCCGAGGGCTGTTTCTTTTTGCTCTGTTCCTATGGAGAGAGCAATGCTGGAGCTAAACTGGAAATGTTCACAGATCCCTTCGGCTTCCAGCAAGCACCAGATTCCATCTTTCATCTCAGTCGTGCTGTTTCGTAAGCGATTGAAAGGAATTGGCTGGAGCTGGTTTGACGGGTTGTTCGAGCACGGCACTAAATCCTGAACAAAGCAGCTGCATTTCCTTGCCAGCGTGCAGGAAATATTTGTGGCGTGACAAAAACACCCACTTTGGTCCTTTTGCGATGCAGTGAAAGGCCAGCCTACATGGGAGGCATCAGCCTTCGCTAGCGGGGTAGCTGTTGATGAGGTTTTTAATTAAATACCGGGCTGTGCGTTAACTGAGTCGTGCTGTGGGCCGCGGCGTACTGGGAAGCCCTCCACTGTATTCTGCAGAGGAGGTGACCTCAGGGAACTTGAGTTTTGAGAAGGTATTTCTTCATTGCGGGCTTCTTCCTCCCTTTATTCTTTTCCCTATGGAAAAAGATACAAATGGATAATTAGTTTCGACATATTAAAAAAAAACAGAGAGGAAGAAAGGTATTGATTTATTATTCACTCGTGGAAACCTGGCAGCCTCCCCTCGCTGAGGCTCAAACTGCATTTGCAGTGTAAAGTTCTTCAGACTTTTTCCAGCTCCCAATCTGGCTCCATTCCTCAAGGCTTGGTAAATTTTTGGCCAGATTTAAGATTAAATTGCCTAGAGAATGGTAAAATGTAGGAGAAATTGAGAAACAAAACCATTATCTTTAATAGCACAGGTCCCACCGTCCTTTCTTGCAGAAAAATCTGTATTTTTGTCACTAAAAGAAAAAGGAAGGAAGAAAACCTGGTTGCAGATCTGATTACCTTCTGCTGAATTAAATCTGGAAGAAGGCTCCTTCTTGGAGTATGACTTGTGTGACACCCAAATTTGAGCTGTGCTCACCCAAGGGGAAGAGAACGCTCCTTAAATAATGTCAAGGAACCTCTACCTTGTAGCTTTTAAGCTGTAGCTGCAGTAGATGTCTGTGAAGACACTGCCTATGGGGCCAAGGACGGAGCCTGTCGAGGGTCCAGCAAAAACAAATATCCATCTCAGCCACGGCAGGGTCATTGCAGGGTCCATGTGAATGCAGGTGAGGTGAACACTGTGCGTTGTTTGGGTGCTTTTCTTCTCTAAAATACAGATATTGGGTGTCCTTGGTCACAAAAAAGGCTGCTTCTCCCCGGCACGGCACAGCACAGCAATGCCTCTTATCGGCCCTTCCAGTTTGCTCTAGTCTGCGTTTCCAGCTCTCTGGCTTCGGTTAACTGGTCTCTGACATACGAGGATGCGGTTGTAACACTCATCTCTGCTTCTCACCAGGGCGAATTGCTCAGAGTATTTTCCAATCTTCATTTCGCTCCTCTGGGTTGCTGGAATCTTCTTCCATCAAAGTAAGAGGGATGGGGGGGAACCCCAACCCAAACCACGTGCACCATATGGTCAGCCCTGAAGTGGTCAGGCAGTTGGACTAGATGATCATTGTAGGTCCCTTCCAACTGAAATAAGTCTTGTCTAGTCTAATTCTGTTCTATTCTAAACCAAAAATATCCCAGTTTAAATCCCATTGCAACTTGGGCACGTCCTCTCTGTACCCGTGAGGCTGTTACTTGGGGAAAGCAAAGTTACCCTTTGGCAGGCCGGACCGAGGAGCGCTCCGACTCCAGTGTGCATGAAGCTGCTGGTAGCAGCCGAGCTGGTCTCCTGCCCGGAGATGTTTGGTGGCATTGGCAGCCCATGCTTCTTCTCTTAGACAAGGTCAGGCTGGCGCGTGGCGGCAGGGTGGTGGTGTGGCTGGGAGCAGCGTGGCTCTCTGCTTCCGAGGCTGCTGCTTCCTCCTGCACCGGGGAAGGTGCAAACTGAAGCTGAGCTGCAACGCGATACCCGCATCGCTTCGTCAGAATGAGAAACCATAACCGAAACAATTAGTCAGCCACCGGCCATCCTGTACCAAGTGGGTTTAGGGGATTTGGCTGCCACCACGGGGCAACTTCAGGGGGTAGAGAGGTTCATCCCTCACAAAAAGGGAAGGAAGAAACCCCATTTAAACTCCCACACCGTTTTAAAGCCAAGTCCCTCTGCATTTGGTTTGCGTGGCTGTGGCCCCATCTGCAGGGGGAAGCGGGGGCATGGGTGGCTGAGCTGGGCTGCAGCTCCGGCTGTGTCCGGGGACCCCTGGCCCATCAGGACTTGGCTCCCCTCTTCCCCGCAGGTGTGGCTGCAGTGTGTGGGCTGCTGTACCTCTACACCCGCTTCAAGTATTTCCAGGGATATGCCGTGGCTGCGCAGGGACGGTTAGTAGCCGAGGGCTGCGGGCACCCCAGACCAACCCAGGGAGGCTGGGTGCAGGATGCGTCCCTGGGGCATGTTTCCTTCCTGCAGGTGGGACTGAAGGCAGGTTTGCATCACCCCTTCTCCTCCCTTCCTGCCCCCACACACTTGTGGCCCCGCCAGCTCTTCCCCAGCACAGTCTTGGAGGAGGATGGGAGATGCCAAGCCCTCGCAAGCATGCTTCGTGCCCTGGGTCGGCTGGCGGTGTCTGACGGTGTTTTTCTCCCCACGCAGGTTGGGGCCGCTGTACGCCAGCGCCCGGCTGCTCTGGCTGCTGCTGGGGTTGGCGGTGGCTGGGCTCCTGGCGCACTTCCTGCTGCCCCACTCCTCCACATGGACGGCAGCGCTGGCGTGGCCCCGCCAGCTGCTCGGCGCCTGGTGAGCGGGGCCGCAGCCCCCCCAAAACCACTGCTCACCCCCCGCGGAGCGGAGGGACGCGTGTGGCGTGGTCGGTGACCGAGTATCTCCCCAGCTCTCTGCTTACCTTTGAAGGGAGGTGGATGCTGGCACTCCTCTGCTTGCGAAGCTCTGCTCTTCAGAGATAATTTCTCTTCTAGAAAGCAAACGCTGCCCAACCTCTGCCCCTGCTGATGGGCTTCACTGCCAGGTTTTGTAGCACTGTCTGCTCTAAAACATCTAGCACCTTTGGCTCTGCCTCGTGGAGCACGGGTCAACCCGTATGCTGTCATCACTCCTCCTTACTGCTGTAATGAGCTATGTTGAGGGATCACACCACAGAGATACAAAAAATAAATTCCTCTTCTCAGCAGAAATCACCTGTGATTGTCAAAAGTGCTTGGGGCGAACATCCAAGGGTTACAGGACTGGGTTGCACGGGAAAAGCTGCTGTGATTAAAACTAACTTGAAAGGATGGGCAAACTTGTCTAAAACCTTGTCCAAATTTTGGGAAAAAAGCCTGACTCTAGTCCAAATGCTAATGTCTGTGTTGGGCATTGCCTTGAATGATCTTGACTTGGCTCCGACTTCACTTATTACCGACCCACCAGCAGGACTTCGCCCTCTCTCTGGATTTCAACCTCTGCCGCAAACTTGGGGTTCGCAGGTAACCAAAGGAGGCATCAAGCAGGTAGCTCCTTGCTAAGCTGTATGTGGGTATAAAAAAAAAAAGCAACATATATTTTATAAGAAAGCCAACTGTTCCACAATTGCACCCGTGGGTATATGGGTGCCCAAGTGCCTTCCTTGCTCCCTGCCGAGGAGACTTGACCAACCTTTCTTTTTTTAATAACTGGTGAAGGTTCCTGTGGTGCTGGGGCAAAAAAATAACCAGTGTCCCACTGGGCTGCTCTAAGTGCTTTCCCCAGCACGAGCAATGCTTTGGGAGCATCAGTTATTGGTGAGCGCTGAGGAATGACTCCGTTTCGGGTGGAGGGGCTACCGCAGGTCCCCGGCCCCCCGGGATGCCCACCCGTCCTGGGGAGGGGAAGAGGGGGGCAGAGCCGGAGCATGTGCCTCCCTGCCATGAGGGACTCTCACCGCCGCATCAAAGGTTTAAATTTAGCTTTTATTACAGTGCACATTATTTTATATATTTATATATAGAGATGTACTTGAAAAATCAAATGTATCCAATAATAAAAAATACAGCACATTAAAGTAGTATAATGCATTCCAGTGTATAGCTGAAGAGACATTGGGATTTACACTAATCCCTACTATTTTTGAACTGGGCTACTTCTTCTTTTTCCCTCCCCCCCTCAAAAAAAATTCACACCAATTAATAACTGAAATAGCTATTTAAAAAGATGGTTTCTGCACTCAATCTCAAGGCATGAAGACACTGGAGACTTCACCATGAGTTAAGGGGCTGTGTTCAATGCTGGCAGGCACAGTGTGGCGTATTTTATTTTTTTTTTTGTTTTCCCTGCCATACTTATAGCTCCAACCCCTTTGGATTCATTCCTCCTCCGCTGAAGGAGGGTCAGTCTTCACCCTCGCTTAATCCTCAGCTGTGGCCAGGACCATTGCCTGGGCAAAGGCAAGGCAGACCTTGGTCCCTGGCCGTCTCCATCGCAGTGCGCCTGCGGGGTCAGCCGGCAGGACTCAACGTGACCAAGCCCCTGCTCTGTCCCCAAATACAGCCAGTGATTGCCCTGTCCTGGGCTGAAGGTGCTTTTAGTCCCCACGCTTGCTAAAGCTCATCCCGACTCCAAACTGTCCCGTGTCGGTGCGGCTCGAGTGGCACGCACAGCAGCCATGCACCCGTGAGGGGCTGAGGGGAGCAAAGCCAGCCCTCTGCATGGGATACTGGTTTTTGCTTTTTAATCTTCTTCCAGAGAAGACGATGTCCTGGCCCCGTAGCACCGGCTGGGGAGGGTGGTGCCAGCCAGTTTGCCGAGGCCTGTTGGTGTGTGCCACCTCCCGGCAGCCGGGCCTGTGCTTCGCCGGCGTGGCTGTCCTTGTGCCCGGGCGAGGCGCCGTGGGGAGGAGGGAGCGGGAGGGGAGGGAGCAGGACTGGGGATCCATGCGTGTGTCCACCCTTCTCACGCCCATATCACTCTGCTTTTTTGATAAAAATCTGAAAGGAGAGAGGGCCGGGATCAGAGAGAAGCTGGGGCGGCAGGGAGCCCCAAGCCAAGAGCTGGGCAGGGCCATCCCTCTGCCGATGAAGCCCAGCTTACCTCGCTCAAGATGATCCACACTGGGGAGTCGGTCTGGATGGACAGCCTGATGGCCTCCAGCGGCCCGAAGGACGGGTCCACCTCGCCCTCTGCAACACCCTTGGAGAAGGAGCCTGGTGGGGAGAGCACGTGGGTGACAGGGGGACGGTCCCCTGGCAGCCAGCCCCCCCTGAGGGAACCACGAGCAGCCATGGCAGCGCCGTGCCCGCGGCTCCCCGACATGAGAGAGACGGGCTGAAAACCAGCAGCATGGATGTCAATACGGTGCAAAATGCTACACTGGAACAAAAAAAATCAGCTAAATAAAACACAATGGGGAGTATTTGGCTGCATATCACTGCTGTGCAAAAGCGGGGCAGAGTGACCTGACGGCAGCACTGTCCTGTCAGAGCCAAATGTTGGTTCAGGAGCCGTGCCATGGAGGCAAGTCTCATATCCATAGTGCTAGCAAGGTCTCAGCCTGTTGCTATGTCCCATTTTTGGGTGTGATTTTTTTTTTTGAAAATGCAACTGGCAGAAACCAGACAGCATGCAGTGGAATGCTAAAATGGCAAAAAGCTACACATATCAGGGAATTTTTAATTGTCTATTTAAAAAAAAAAAGAAGTCTTAGCAGGGACACCAGGGCTTTACCACGCACCAGTGGGTCCCCATAGGCTGCACTCACTCATTCTTGTTCAGGGGCAGGACAAGCACTGAAACAAGCTCAGGTGGCAGGAGACAAAGTCCAAGCTGCAAGTGGTGTGAGTACCGAGACAGGCTGTGGAGGGAGAGCGCAAAATCGCCCACAGTGGAGGTTTTTAAGACCAGGTTAGGTAAATGGATAATCTGAATAATTTGGTCCCAGCTCTGAGCAGAGACAGGCAGAAACATAGGACTGAAAACTACCTGAAGAGGACACCTAGTCTAAGACGGGAGGGAGGGCAGTGGAGGAGAGGAGACAATGACAATTAAGTCCTCTTCCAACCTGGCTCCCAACAAGCAGAAATTACTCTTTGCCAAGCAAACAGCACTAAGGGTCTCGATTCACTTGACAGTAAGGCTATGGGCTGTGTTATCAAACCCAGCGGGCAGCTTACCACCCTGCACCCTGCTGTACCTATCTGGATGTAGCCGTCCGGCATCCTGCGGTATTTGACGGCTGCGCCTCTTCCCTCCTGCAAGGCTTCCTTATCCGACTGCAGGCTCTGCGGGAAGGAGAGGAGCTCTGCACAAGGCCAGTGGCAAGAGCCACCCAAAAGTCCCAAGCAACAGCAGCAACCCTGGAACCACCCTTGCCAGCAGCCCTTGGCATCTCGTCCCCCCACCTGGCACCCTGAGCCTCATGCCCCAACACAAGAGGGCATTTGCTGCCCTCATGCTGTTGCTTCCACTGCACCATCCTGGCTCCATCCCCTCCTCTGCAGCCATCCCATCCATCTGAGCATCCCTTCCGCAGGCATGGATGGCTCCCACAGTGACTGTGCAGCGCAGCATCCCTGCTCCCGAGGTGGTACCACCCCAGGCGTGACCCCCTGGCTCCCAGCCAGCACCTCTCAAAGGCAACGAGTCTTGCAAAGATTTTCCTGACGGCTTTAAGCAGTTCCCTTCTCTCAAACCTCTCTTGCTTCCCACTCCACCCCCGTCTCAATTCTCAATAAAACACTTACGTCAAACGGCAAAACCTCCACAGTCGTATTGAAGAGTTTGTCTTCTGGGTGCTCGATGTTCCCGCTGCGGAAGAAGAACCTGTGACAGAGACCAAAGCCATGGAAACCCACACTGAGCGAGGGGGGACATGGTGGCTTTCACCCCAGCTGAACCATCAAACAGCTCAACCTAACAGGCATCTTCCCAAAAAGCCCACGAGCACACGGTTTGGAAGGAGACCTTCTGCGCCAGATTAGCTGAAGCACGGATTGCTCAGAAGCGCAGGAAAGCAAAGGGCTCCGGCAAACGTGGCCCCACCAAAAAGGGACAAGTTATCCTCCCCCTGGAAGAGCACTGCTCCCTCCCCCTGGGCAGCCAAGCAGCAGGTGGGCAAGAAATTCAATATAAGCCAGAAGAGCAAAAGGAAAGTGTCTCCACATGCTCCAGGCTGTCCCCACGTCCTCCCCCGCCGACCCCCCCCAGGCACTGGCCTTTCGATGCGGAGCGGTTTGAAGAATCTGAATCTGATAAAGTCTCCAGCGGTGGGAGTGAAGGCCCAGAAGAAGTCCTCCCGCAGGTAAGCCTTCTCCAAGGTGAAATGCTGGTAGGTTTTCAGGCTGGTGCTCACCTCCGCAGGAGGGTTGACGTGCTCTTTCCGCAGGGCCTGCTTGCCAAAGTCCTTGTCCTTGGTGGGTGCAAAGCAAAAGGGCAGAAAAGGGTCACAAGCTGCTCTTGCTGTGAGGAACAGGGGTCTCAGCAACAGGGCAATGCAAATTAAAAGCTCTCGATTTGCAGAGCACAGAAGGATGGGGGATGGAAGTGATCTGGGGAAGGCAGCAGACAGGGCAATGCGTGGCTGGATCCCAGGAGGACACAACTTCAGGAGAGGCAGCTCAGAGAATCACCACTGCTCTGCGCTCTGATCCGGCACCGAAGAGCTTTCTTTGTCCAAGTGTCCCTGCCCCACCTGAGGAGAAGGTGGCTGGGAGGCTGACGATAGCGTAAAATGACTGGATTACACAGCCTGACAGGCACTGCACTGCGATACGAACTGATTACACCATCCATTTACCTGGGGACTGGACAGACACAGGACTGAGCACAGCCCAGGGATGTGTGTCTGTGGGTCCTGCACATCTAGCTGTGGGAAGCTTGATTTTGTTAATGTTTAAATACACACAATTTAAGCTCTTACACAGCAAGCTCTAGTTTGCCTATCAGCAAATCCCAGGAACAAGGAGGGGGGTGGGAAGGAAGTCAGACCAACCCAGGAGTCATCTCTGCAGGGTTTTTCAGTAGATGCTTCGAAATCACTTGCCTGATCATGGTTTGGCACTCAGGATGGGTGGCCAGGACCAGTACTAAGGCTTAAAAGCTTGCAGCGACTCTTGGTACATGTCACTGCCATGCTGAGAAGTAGGAGCTACATGAGCTCACTGTAATTCAGAATAAAACACAACCACTGCACAGAAATCCAGCCGCCACCGTCCCACCAGTTGCTGTCACTGATGTCCCCACCCCAAAAGCAGCCAGTTCCTGGGTGCCTGCAGGCCAGGCCTGGCAGAAAGGCTGTCTGTGGCTTGGACAGGCAGCTGGTACCCACCTTCAGCTTCTGTATCTTCCCAGCCAAGGAGGAGTGGGTTCCCACGTGCTGGAAGAGCGAGGGCTTGAAGCGGATCCTCAGGTTTGCCTTCTGCCTGTCACAGTGTTTCTGAAACGAGACAATCCCACAGCACCCCATGCTTAAACCTCCACAGTCAACTGTGCCCCGGGAGAGGAATGGTCAAGGGCACGAGGAGTGATAAATATCCCTGCCCCTCCATCTCTATGCCTTTCTGTGTTATTTCAGCTTTAATTTGGCAAGAGGGCTTTTAACCGCACCCTGGAGGAACCCGACCGTGACCCTCGGCCGGTCACCCGCCGGGCTCTGCTGGGCAGCCAGGGTGCCCAGGTTTAAGTGTCAAACGTCTCCTTGCCAAGCATAGCTTAGCAAATGCAGAGCAAGTCTCCCCTGGGTCCTGTCAGGTAGGGAGAGCCAGATAACTTTATTTCTTTTTTCCTTGGCTTATCAGGAAAGCCTTTTTCCTACAACTCAGAGCTCGGGATCACCGATGTCTGAAGGTACAGTAAGCCCTGGGACGATTCAGAGCCCAAGCGAACAGGTAGCAATTGCGGGCTCTTTTCAGACAGGCAGAGCTTTCAGTTTGTTGGCAGATTCTGTTAGGCAGATGTATGGCACGTGCCATCGTCTGAGCTGTTTGACTGTTTCGCACCCATCCCACCATGTAAATAAACTTGGAGATGCAACTCTGATCCAGACAGTGATTTTCCGTGGGGTGGAGGAAGAGAGATGATGGAGAAGGAATAAAGGACGAACGGGAAAAACACTGAGAGTGTGGAGACAATAACTCACACTTTAAAAACAGTTAATTTCTCTCAGTTTGGGGGAGCAGGACAAAAATACAGGGTTAAAAACCAGAGGGAGAGAGCTTTTTTTTCCCAAATTTTGCTTTTTCCAAGACAAGAAACACACACACACCCCTACCACCAGCTGCTCTCGCAACCTCCCACCCAAGAGCACCCCCGGCAGAAATCCCGCTGCCGGCCGGTGTGGCACTGGCTGCCTGGCACCAGGCAGGGCACAGCCACACCGAGCCCCCGCGATGGGCTGCCCACACAGGCCACCACCACTGTGCCGGGAGCTGGGAAATTCCAGGCATGACCCCTGCGAGCTGCAGAAGAGATAGATAATCCCCTAATCCAGCTCACATTACATTAGAAAATTAAAACTAGCCATGCTAATGGGAGAGACCCTACTCATTGCCAGCAACCCCAGACGCAACCCCATCCAGTCTGATCTCACTCTGGATGGGGAGAGCAGGAGGAAGGGGAATGGAGGGAGCCACAGCGTCTCCTGATTTCTCTTTCTCCCCTTTTTCCCTTCTGCTGAAGAAGCATTTGCTGAAAGCAGCATTGTCTCAGGCGAGCCAGGAGGAGGAATGGCTGGTGGTAAGAAGGTCATCCCTCCACAAAGCTCTACCCCAGGTAAATCTAAAATTAGTTAAAAAAGAAAGAGCAGAATATATCCAGAGCAGGCAAAGCACTTACCAAAAGCTCAGGTCAAACAAACTTTCAATCAAAAAGACAAATCCTCCCCGCTACCAATTTGATTCTGCACAGTGGGATTTACAAGGGAAAGTCGTATTTGAAAGGGCACTGTGCAGAGTTAATCATGCAAACAGTGGGGGAAAGGAGCCAGAAATCCACATGGAAAGTAGGTTAATTTTTAAAAAGGCAACACATTTAAGAGGCTTGCAGTTTCCCCTGGGAAAACCTTGGCTCCGCCAGGTAGGAGAAGATGAGTGAAGATGAGCTAAGGAGAAGATGATCCTGCACAGCAGGATCTGCATTTAATCAATGCTCAAGCTGAAGATTTTGAAGGGGAGGGGGCACAGACAGCAGCATCGTTCCCAGCTCCATCCCAGCATCCCACCACCCTGGCTTTGCCCATGGCTGTGAGGACCCTGGGGGCTGCCAGACAGGCCTGGGGACTGCTCTGTCACACCTGAGCACATGGTTTGAACTGCCAGGAGGACATGATGGACATCACCTGAGACTGGTCCTGCTGCACATGGGGGACTGGAGCCGATGTCACAGCCTCTGTCAGGGATCAGACCAAATTAAACCACATCCTTGCCCCAATTCTGCAGAGCCCTGAAGATGGCCTGTCCCCCCCAGCGCATAAATATAGTATTTATCCCCAGAGCGACCACTTGCTCTGGCACTTGCCACCACAAAGCAGTTGTGGCCATGAGGTCTGTCCTAAGCGACCGGCTTCAAGCTCTGCACGGGGACTCCGCTGCTCATTCTCCGCCGGGGGAGGAGGGTGAACGAGCGTATGAGTAAATACAATATGTTCAGAGAGGAGACAGCAGAGTATCTGGTGGTGAGCTCATCTTACATTTGCTGTCACCTCCCCCCTCCTCTGCCCTTCCCACTCGCTTTAGCCCCTCGCTGCCGCCGCTGCCGCCGCCAGGAGTTCAAACACAACCTCCACAGGGCACGGGGGCTTCTGTGCTGCTGTCCGCAAGGCTTTGTGCAGACACGGCTCCGCAAACGAGATGGCAGCATGAAAACGGAGCCCGTCTCACCTCTCTGCACCCTCCTAGAAACCCCAACAAGAGCTTTGCGTGCTCTGGCTTCATTTTGGCACACTACGCGCAGCGGGCTTGCTGTTGGGTCATCTGGGGTGAGCTCTCTGGGCAGCCTGCATGTGTGCTCCAGGCACACGAGCCCCGAGCCAAAGGGTTATTCTGGGGTTACAGTCAGCGAGCAGGGAACGGCTTCAGGGAGAGGAGCACACCGGAATGAAAAACAACACAGAAGAATGGGGAATGGCCACTCTCCTCGAGGACTGGAGGAGGAATACCCTGTTAGTGCTTAGATGCAAAAATAATGCCTTTTCTGGCAGCTGCAGACTACAAAAACCTAAACTCCCAGGTCTTTGCTTACACAATCTGCAAGGACACCCTGCGGCACACTCCACAGGGACGGCACGGTTTGGTGCGGAGTCAGTTAGCACCAGAGCTCACAGAAAAGATCCTCTGGAGACACAGCCCACGTTTGCCCACACACAACAGAAGGTTTCCCTTCAACAGAAGTTGTTTACATACTGCATCTTTCTCAGGGTTGCAGACTTTCACCCAAAGGATGTGATCCAGCAGCCAGTCAATGGGTTTGTCCTTATAGAACATCAGGATGAACTCCACGATTAAGCTCAGATCCAGAGACTTGAACATTTTTCCTACAGCACAGAGAGAAGAGAGAGCAGCTATGGTATGAAATGGTCAAAAATCAGAGCTGGGAAGAAAAAACTTGGGAGAGTGGGCTGTGGGGGTTGGATGTGTCCGTCTCTCACGTAAAGGAAATAGCATGCAGCTCTGGTTTATGTACCCGTACTGCTGGCATTGCTAATACAGTTCTGGATTTAATATTCATCACAGAATTAGAAAGCATTAGTGTCTCACAGGTCACAACAGTCTCAAAAGGTCTAAAACTCTTCCATTCAGTAGGGAGAAATAAGGATGAAAAACATTCAGCCAGCTGCAGGACAGACCATTTCCTGCCCCGAAAACTACAAGTTTTAAGCCAGTCAAACCAGTATCCAAAATAACAAATCAAGCTGCTACTGCAACCATGCACTGTTCCCAAAATAGTTCTGTGCTGATGTAAACTTCCTTTTGCACACTCTTAGGCAACTCCAGATCCCATCCAGCCTAAAAGCTACTGGTCATGTCTAAGCCGTTCGGCTGTCGGCTGGGCCACCGACCAGGTTTATTTTTATTAAAAGTGAGTATCAGCAGTACCAGCTGTGAGGATCTTTCTCCCCTGTGCAAACACAAGGGTCACTGCAAAAATAGGGAGTGATCAAGTCCAAGTATTTTACCATCTCGTGGGGACAACTCGTTGGACCAAGAGCATAAATGCTCGCAAGAACCAGCAGGTACTTGTACCCGTGCCTGATGGGACTGGGGTGAGCAGGGGAGAACGTTACCTATAAACCCCAGCTGAGAAAACTCCAGGATCATCCACTCTTCGGAGGGCTGCTGCAAGGCAAAGTTCTTCATCGTGCTGAGATAGTTTGGTTTGGCCACAATATCATCCTCCAGCTGCAAGAGGAAAGGACACTCAGTGCCAATGACCCATCCAGGTTCCAGTAAGAGCCTCTCTGTGCAAAGCAATCACGCCGTAGACTGGAGGAAAGCTTTGGCACAGACCTAGTTTATTCTGGAAGATGCTCCAAGCGGATTTTTCTCACCCAATCTAACAGGTAAATGAAACAAGGATTCCTGCCCTCCCTATGCAGGAGGTCTCCACGTCTAAAACATCTTAGAAACCTAGCTTTTGAACCTATCTGGTTAAAACCCGCTCCCACTCTGCGGCATCACACAACTGGACATGCTCTTTGCCCTCACTCAGCTGGGTATGAGCCACAGTGAACTCACAGGTACACCCAACTCCCCTCTGCCCCCAGCACCAAACCCACCTGCACGTAATATATGCCTTTGGACTGGGCATACATCATTAAAAAGCAGTAGTCGAGGTTCTGCTTTGTCCTCCACCTGCAAGAGACAAACACGATGGGAGCGTCGAGATACCGGGCTGCTCGGGGGATCCAGCCGAGGCTGGGTTTAAGCCGGGAAGGTGACACAGCTCTTGGAGGAGGGGATGGCATACGGCCTCTCCCTTTTGGTCTCAAACTGGTCAGCTAAGAGTTACTGGGAAACTCAGGGATTTCCAAAATGAACATCATCTGGGTTAAAATGCCCCCCTCGCTTGGTGATGGAAACACCACAGCACAAGGCAAGCCCTGCAAAGCTGGCGCCAGTTCATGCCCCCCGCCACGTCCTTCCAGCTCTCGGATAAAGCCAGTTTAAGGCCTCGCCTGGCCCTGCAGAGGAGCTTTCCCTGCCGGAGTTGGGGGGGGGGATGCTGCAGTCACTTAATTCAGGGCTTGCTTGTTTTTAAGCTCATTGATTCTTACCTGACTCTTTCCTTGGGGTCCCCGAAGGATTCCCGGAGGCGGGAGAAATCAGGATAGAAATGCGGAGACGGGGAAATTACCTCCAGGAGACCTGAGTGTATTTCCTTTGGGAATCTGAGGGAGAAATGCAGCAGTAAACAAATACCTCCACGTCTAACACACCATTTCATAGACCAAATCGCTGGGTAAACACTGAGCTGCAGAACCAAACAAAAAATACAGCCTCTAAGATAAAACTTCCCCAGCAGGTAGTGCAATTCCAGGCCTCACCAAAGGACATCAGCAGGGACTGCCACGGAGTCGTAAACCTGCTCTCTCCCTCCCACGGTCTCTAATAGCCCCACGTTTGTGTGCTCCCCGCCAGCATCCCTCCTCCCTCCCGCACACACACACGGCTCAGCTTTAAAGACCAGCCACGAGCACCATGTACTCTCTACAGGATTAAATGGACCCGCAGACTGGTGCACCAAAGAAAGGACTTGCTGGCATTACCGGCATTTAGAGATTTTCCAAATGCATCAGTAATTAAAAGCCATTTTGCAGAGATTATGTTATGCATTTCTGGGAGGTTACTTAAAACACTGCTGTGCTATAGTTAGGACAACCAGCAGCAATTCTACCTAGTTCCCTTACACTGATAAAATCAGCATATATTTTCTCTATAATGAGGTTAGGAACCCTTTAAAGAGTCAAACTCAAACAGAAAGAAATGTCAGCCATCTGAAAAACAGGTACCTACAACAGCCTTGCAAGCAAAACCCAGAGATTACTGTAACTGTGAGAGATAAGCAGGAAAACCAGTTATTTTTATACTGCCTTTTTGAGAACATTTGGTGTGAGGCTGATTTCCTTTTCTTGTCCAGAGCTGCAGGACGGGAGATGGGGCAGAGGGAGACAAAGCAGCGAGATTGCCAAAAACTTCTCACTTATTTTTCCCTTCCTTATTCCCTCCTTGGGACTGGCAAGATTTTCAGCTAACATTTTCAAATCTTCCCTTCCTCAGGCAGCAGTGAAACAGAAGCTTCTCACTGAGCTGACAAAACCTGTACCGAAGCAGCAACAGCTTTCTCCCTCCTGCGATATGAGCTCAGCCTGCCCTGGCCCCACACCGCCTCAATTCAATTTGGAAGAAAAATAATTTCAGTGAATCAGGGAAGGGCAGGAGGCACTGGAGAGGAGGACAGCGAGAAATCAAATCATTAAGTCAATTAAAGTTTCAGGCCTTCTATGCAGAAGCACTCTCCGCAGCAGCGCCCAGTAATTTCATCAGGATCCATCGGACAATCAGTCCATTATCCCCCGATAAGTGCGTCCTCCTGCCAGCAGGCAGAAGGAGGGGAGCTCTGCCAGCTCCTGCACAGCAAGATGGAGGGCTCTGTTTCAGCTCTTCTGCAAGTGCCCGGGAACACAACCCTCCCCGCACACGTCCCGGCCCCTCTCCCATCATTGGCTCCGGGACGCGGGGCGCTGGGAGGATGCGCTGCCCTTTCGCGTCTCCTTCTTATGGCGACTGCGATCCCTTGGAAGCACGCAACCGCAGGAGCTGGACGGGAGTCACAGCCCCTTCTCTCATCACCTTTTTCTTTTGCCTCCGAGCTCTGATGCTGTTAACGCCTGGACCGGCTCATGGTTAATAATCCGTCACCGGCTTCTGCCTAAATAGCCACAGATGAAGCTGCAAAAGCCACTAAGACTCCGGGACATAAATAGCAGCTAGTATGAGAGACAAATGTAACTAGCACCCAGAACAAGGGAAAAACAAATAGGCTGGAGCCAGAGGAAAAACGGATCACGGATGTGAACACAAAATGAGGCAGGAGCATTTGGGTGTGCTTACCACACTGCCCAGTTGCTCTGACTCCGCAGAGCAGGTAGAGGGCTGCACTAGACACAGAAACAATTGCCAGGATCACTGGAAATCTAAATAATCCATCTTCTTGCAAAGCCACAGGACAGAAAGAGCAAAATGAAACGGCATGACCACGTGTGATAAAGACTGCAAGCACAAAGCAGCCTAATGGAAGCTACATATGGGATGCATTTTAGAACAAGCAGAAAGTGGAAGCGGCAATAGCAAAGACAGCCCAGAGTTTAAGAACAGAAAAAAAACCCAAACAACAAAAAAATACAAAAGGGAACCATAAAAGCGTGTATTCTCTCCTTAATGAAGCCGTTCCCTGGCCTCGCTACAGGCACAGACCCTACTGCCATAGTCATTTGGAAGTGCTTACAAGTTTTTGATATTTTCTGCCACTCCGGCTGTGTACTGTGGATCCGTCTGAAAACAAAAGATAAGCAGTGTTAGATCCTTCAGCCTCAGTCTGTGCCCCCTGGGGCTCAAAAATCACCTTCAACACACCCCGGCAGTGCTGTCAGCACCTCTGTACCATCTCCATATCTCCTTTTATCCAGTTTAACCGCTCTCCCCGTGCTGACAGACTCCTAGAAGCCCTCCTTTGTGGCCAGTGTTAACCAAAGGCATCACACACCAGAAAACACCCCAAAGGACTCAAGACCCTGCACATCTTCCCCACGTGCTCTCCTGGCACTTCTGCCCCTGCCAGCGCCAAGTGTTTGCACAAAGTGTTAACTTCTGAGCTATTTATTTTTTTCTCTATATAGGCTGGCTTTCATCCAAGCGAATACTCTCTGCAGAAAAAGATCTCCACCCCTTTTGTGAAAAAGAGAGGTTTATTTATAAAGCGTGCATTTTTCATTTCAGGTTCATTTTGATGCTTTTCTTCCTAAAACAACAGTTTGTTCCCACAATCAACCTGGCAACCTGTAACAGTTGGGAGGCAAAGGTCAGCAGCGCCGCGCGCCGCTATCTGCAGGCGAGATAAGTGCAAACACAGGGACAGGCACTGGACAGAAACCATCTGCACAGTGACCGGGGAAACAAAATCCAAGAACAAAGGGCAGGAGACCCAGGAGCAAAAACTGTGCCTGTTTCCTGGTCGCGGTATTGTTTTGAGATCACGGGATCACGCGTCCCAGGCGGATCTGCAGACACAGCATCACAGAAGCCGGGACCGGCTGGGGGCGGGGCT